CTTGAACTCAGGGCCTGGGTGCTGTCCTGTTGCCTCTTTGTGCTAACAGCTAGCGCTCGACCACTTGAGCCACAGCAACACTTCTGGTTTTTGAATAGTTAATTGGAGATAAGAGTCTCACAGGGACTTTTCTGCCCAGGCTGGCTTCAAAGTGGGATCCTCAGATTTTAGCCTCCTGACTAGCTAGGATGACAGGTGTGAGCCACCAGCCCCCCCCACTACTCTATTTTGTTTTTTTTTGTTTTTTTGTTTTTATTTTTTGTGGTTGTGGGGCTTGAACTCTGGGCCTGGGCGCTGTCCCTCAGCTCTTCAGCTCAAGGCGAGTACTCTACCACTTGAGCTACAGCATCACTTCCGGTTTTCTGGTGGTTTACTGGAGATAGAAGTCTCACGGTCTCTCCTGCCCGGGCTGGCTTTGAACCGTGATCCTCAGATCTCAGCCTCCTGAGTAGCTAGGATTACAGGCGTGAGCCACCAGCGCCCGGCCCTCTGGTTATTTTTGAGATAGAGTCTTGCTGTTTGCCCCAACTAGCTAGACCTCAATCCTCCTATTTCCACTTCTCACAGTAGCTGCAATAACAAGCCTTACCTAGCTATTGGTTCAGATGAACTGTCCCCAGGTTGGCCTCCAACTATGATCCTCTAAAGTGGCTAGGCTTGCAAGTGTGAACCACAGGTGCCTGGCCTCCAGTTATAATTCTTATCATCCCATTTAGCAAAGCCTCTAGTGTGGATAGGACAAAAATGTAGGCCGGTGCTCTGTAGCATCTCCAAAGCCTCTTTACCACTCTCTGAGTGCTTCTGGCTCTGGGGTGCAGTTTAACATTAACTCATATAGCCACTAGGGAGCGCCGATGCCTCGCTTCTAAAAGGAAAGCTGTTGTGCAGAGATATAGCCACCAGAGGGCGCTGCCATCACACAAATGCCTACCATGTGCTGCGCACGTATTAGGAACACGGGGGAACTCAGGCCTGGCCAGGAGCCAGGCAGACAATGCAGTCCTGGATCAGGTCACGGTGGTGGATGGAGGAATTAAGCGACAGGATAGCACGAGGGGCCTTCTTGGATTAGGTGCCCTACACCTGTCTGACAAGCATCTGAAAGACAGCGAGGACGAGGAAGCCCCAGCCCTCCATGCAGAGGAAATGAGGGGCTTGGGGCAAAGAGTTGGGGGGGGTGGGGAGGGAGGCGCTGCTTTTATTCCAAGGGCCAAGCAAAGACTGTGCCTCACGAGACAGGAAAGCAAGGGGGGCTCTGTGTGTGAGCCAAACAGACACGATTCACAGTTCTTCTTTGTGCGGGTCCTGGGACTTGAACTCAGAGCCTGGGTGCTGAGTTTGCTCAAGGCTGGTGCTCTACCACTTGAGTCACAGCTCCACTTCCAGCCATTTGCTGGTCCATTGGAGATAAGAGCCTCATGGAACTTCCTGCCCGGGCTGGCTCTGAACTGTGATCCTGAGATCTCAGCCCGCTGAGTAGCTGGGATGACAGGCGTGAGCCACCGGCGCTCAGCTCACTCTCCTTTTGTTTGTAGAATGAAATGGTGCCACACCAAGAAACTGCTTGCTTTTTTTTTTAAAAAAAGTTAACTGTGCTGGACAGAGGAACTGGGAGTGGGCAGGGGCTGGTGGCTTCAGGAGCTAATAGCTGGCCCCCTCCCTACCATGTGAAGGTTGGTAAGAATGCTTGCTACATGCCTGCCCCCACCAGCCCATGCTCTATGCTCGGGAATCCACAGTTTGGCACGCTATGCTTCACTTCGGATGTGGACACACAGACACAGAGAGGTTAAGGAACTTGCTCAAGACCACACAGCTAAGGACAGATGGTATCTGAACTTTGGCAGAAATATTTGGTTGTTGTTCTTTGCTTTTGCCTTGAAGTATTTGCATTCAGGGCCTACACTCTACTAGGCTCCTTGTCCTGTTTTGTTTTGTTTTTAATATATATGAGTCAATCATCTCTCTCTCTTTCTTTCTTCTTCTTTCTTTCTTTCCTTTCTTTCTTTCTTTTTCCTTTCCTAGACTGGGACTTGAACTCAGTACCTGACGCCTTTCTTTTTGTTTGTTTCTTTTCGGTAGTGGGTCTTGAACTCTGCGCCTGGGCACTGTCCCTCAGCTCTTCAGCTCAAGGCGAGTGCTCTACCACTTGAGTCACAGCACCACTTCCGGTTTTCTGGTGATTAATTGGAGGTAAGAGTCTCATGGACTTTCCTGCCCAGGCTGGCTTTAAACCATAATCCTCAGATCTCAGCCTCCTGAGTAGCAATGATTACAGGTGTGAACCACCAGTGCCTAGTACCTGACACTTTTGCTCATTGGCTGGCACTTTACCAACTGAGCCATGCCTCCAATCCCACTTTTTTGTTTTGCTTCATTTTTGTTCTAGAGCTGGGGCCTGAGCACTGTCTCTGAGCTTCTTTTGCTCAAGGCTAGCACGCTACCACTGGAGCCACAACTCCACTTCTGGCTCTCTCTCTCTCTCTCTCTTTTTTTTTTTTTTTTGGTAGTTTATAAAAGCCTCACTCATTTTCCTGCAGATACTGGCCCTGAACCATGATCCTCAGATCTCAGCCTCCTGAGTAGCTAAGTGGACAGGCATAAGCACCAGCATCTGCCTCCCACTTTGATTTTTGGTTTGTTGGTTTGGTTTTTGGCAGCTCACATCGCATCATGTAACCCAAGCTGGTTAAAAGCTCGTTTTCTCCGGGTGTCTGCGTCCTAAGTGCTGGGATTATCGGTGTGCGGCGCCGTGTGAGGCCCAGGCCGCGCTGCTTCGCAGTCCTTGTGCTGCAGCTTTTGTGCTCCCCCGTTGCGCTGAGCTTTGGGTCGGATTGTCTGAGCAGTCACCACCACCTTCGCATGAGCTAGCCCGTCACTCGTCACCACTAAAAATAAGCGCTGTTGTGGTGTGTAGGGTCGCGGTGACATGGGAGTGAAATAGCTGAGTTCTGGAGTCAGAGTCTGGGATGGCAGCCCAGCGCCACGTTTCCTGGCTGTTGACTTGGGACAAATCACATCAGGAATCTGGGCCTCGGGTTCCTCATCTGTGAAGTTCCCATTTCCCTGAAGAGGAAACTGAGAGGCTCTGAGCACAGCGCACCCGGGAAGGCCTTGAACCCACGTTCCAGGAACACACCACCCCCACCAGCAGGAAAAAGGAAGGCAGATCAGGTTCTGTGAAGGGAAGTGTGAAGTGGGGCTGGGGCAGGGAGGGGGGGGGGGGCGGGGGGGGGGGGGGGGGGGGGGGGGACAAGGCCCAGGGGACAAAGGCTGGAGGTGCGCACTCTGTCCTGTCTTGTATGGAGAAAGGGGAGACATCTACATGGGGACCACAAGGCCACCCACTACCCACGGGCCTGGGGACCCCCAGAGGGTCCTCTTTTGTTCTTTGAAGAAGCTGTGTGTGTGTGTGTGTGAGAGAGAGAGACACACACACACTGGGGCTTGAAGTGAGGACATCACACTTGCTTACTTTTATTGCTCAAGGCTGGTGTTCTGCCACTTTAGCCACACCTCCACTTCTGGCTTTTTTGTTATCGTTGTTGGTCATGGGGCTTGAACTCTGGCCCTGAGTGCTGTCCCTCAGCTCTTCAGCTCAAGGCTAGCGCTCTACCACTTGTACCACAGCACCACTTCCAGTTTTCTGGTGTTTTTTTTTTGGTCGGTCGTGGGGCTTGAACTCTGGGCCTAGGCCGCTGTCCCTTAGCTCTTCAGCTCAAGGCGAGCGCTCTACCACTTGAGCTACAGCACCACTTCCAGTTTTCTGGTGGTTTATTGGAGATAAGAGTTTTACAGACTTTCCTGCCTGGGCTGGCTTTGAACCGCGATCCTCAGATCTCAGCCTCCTGAGTAGCTAGGATTACAAGCGTGAGCCAGCAGCACCCAACTCTGGTCTTTTTTGTTTTGTTTCCAGTCCTGGGGCTTGAACACAGGGCCTGGGCACTGTCCCTGAGCTTCTTTTGATCAAGGCTAGCACTCTACCATTTGAGCCACAGCACCACTTCTGGCTTTTTTGTGAATATAGATTCTGAGGAATGGAACTCAGGGCTACATGCATGCTCTGCAAGTGAGCTACCACTAAGCCACATTCCCACCCCAGGGGAGTTTCTTAGAGATGAGAGTCTCATGAACTTTCCTGCCTGGGCTGGTTTCAAACCATGATCCTCAGATCTCAGTCTCCTGAGTAGCTTGGATGACAGGTATGAGCCACCAGCGCCTGACTGAAGGGCCTTCTTTGCCTGCTGGCCTGGGGCTCAGACCCTGCGTGGGTACCTGGTCCTGACACGGCCACTGGCAGGGATGGAAGATGTCTATTTCTCCAGCTCTGCTTGGGCTGTTGGCCTCCACTACGCCCCCATCACAACTCCTAGCCCATCTCCCAATCACAGACAGCTGAGGCACCCAGGATAAACCAAATGTGGTGTTAAAATTCATGATACAGCCACTATTCCCTTCTGAGATCCCACATTCCCAGCCCAGAGACTTAAGATCAATTCTTCTCTCAACTCCTCTGCCCCCTGCCAATTTCACAGTCTGTGGATCTAAATGGAGCCCATCTCACACAAATCCCTGCCTTAATGCCACTTCCTTCAGGAAGCCCTCCAGGATTTCTTTACTGCCCTAAGGGATATTGGCTTTCCTCCCCAACTCAGCAGGCCTTGTGCTTACCACCAACCTCAGACCCATTTGTATGGCCTCAACTCCATTGCCCTCATCCACAGAGGGGCTCACGGGGCGGGCCGGCCAAGAATGGGCCTGGGTGTGGGGGAGGTGGGGACAGGATGTGAGTCCCCAGAGCCCTGGGGTCAGCAGGGCCTGTTCTCATGCTCTCTGGCCAGGGAGGAGCGCTCGTCCATCTGGCAGGACCAGCTGTGGGCGCTGGGGTGTGCGGAGCGGGAGCTGGACAGTGGGCGTTGGGGGAGGGGTGTGGAGAGGCCCAGGGAACAGGGAGAGCAAGGCCGGGCGCGCAGAGATGTTACAGAACCATGAACTACAACTTATAAACAAGCCGGGCGTGTTAGGGAGGGAGGCCAAGTGGAAGGGTCACAGAATCAAGATGGGGTCACGGAGGGGCTGTCCTGGCCCGGTCCTGGCGGGGACTCAGGCTGCCTTCGTCCGAGGGGCTGGGCTGGCGGAGGCCTGGCTGTTTGTGGAGGCCCTGGAGCTTGGTCAGTAGCTCCTGGATGAAATCCTGGGGGAACAGGAAGAGGTTTAAGAACCCAGGAGTGGGCCTTGCATACCCTCCTGCGGCCTGAACCAGTGGGGGGGAGGGGGACGTGTAAGATAGGCAGGGATGGGGGCAGGGAGGAGAAAGAGAGATGGGGAAACAGAAACTAGAAAGATTCTCGGGGTAAGAGAGAGGAGGACAGAGAGAAAGACACTGGAAGACGCTAAGCCTATCGTTGCAGGAGGCAGAGGCAGGAGGATCGTAAGTGTGAGGCCGGCCTGGGCTACCTACATAGGGAGACCCTGTTCCAGGGTGAGAGACAGACAGGGAATGAGGTGGAGCAAGGTAGAGAAAACACAGACACAGCTGTAGGGCCAGAGACAGGGAGAGAGAGGCAGGAGCGGAGAGACTCAGGGAGAGAGAGAGACGTGGAGACAGCTCTCAGGCCAAGAAGTGATCAGGAGGTTCCCCAGAGACAGAGGCCCGAGAGACAGAGGCCTGAGAGAGATGGAGGCCAGAGAGAGGGTTCCAGGGAATGGGATGTGGTGACGTTTGTCCCGCGGGCAGCCCAGAGCTGGTTGGAGAAACATGAATATTTTTCCCTTTTAAAGCAGGGAAGGAAGTGGGTGGAGTTGGGCTACTAAGCAAGCACCAAAGCCTGGAGGATGGGGCGCCCCTCGGGGGGTGTGGCAGGGAGTCAGGGTGTGATGGAGGCAGAGAGGAGAGACTGAGCCCTCAGACAGCAGCCTGAGACAGCAGGGCAGAGGCCAGGATAGGAGACGCATGGGGTGGGGCTCCAGGAAACTGCTTGTGGAGCTTAGGAGACAGATGGAGGAGGAGGAGGAGGAAGAGGAGGAGGAGGAGGAAGAGGAGGAGGAGGCGGGGGAGGAGGAGCAAGAGGAGGAAGAGTTCCTCAGAATGCTGTTGGCCTATTCCACCCCCCTCACCCCCATGGCCAGCCTTCTCTTCTCCCTTTGGGGTACAGGGAGCAGACAAGACATAGAGCAAGGGAAGGAAACTCACCTCTGTGGGGTTCATACATGACTGGAGAAGTCTCTAAACAGCCCCCCCAAAACAAAACAAAACAACAACAACATCGTCAATGACAATTACTGATTCTGCTTACACCCCTCCCCTTTTGCAAGACAGCCAGACTAATGGCAGTTAGATCCTAGGATGGACTTCCCACCTTGCTTCAAAGGAAGAATATAGCTTGAGGGCCCTTTGGGGTGATCAGGGACAGGGCTCAGCCATTGGGGAGAGGTCAGGGGAGGAGAAAGCTCACAGAGCTGGGGGTGTGGGGGAGGAGACAGGGCAGCCAGGTTTCCTGGGTTTGGCCCCTAGCTCCGCTGTGCTGTGTGACCCTGGGTAAATCATTTCACCTCTCTGAAGCCTCATTTTCCTTAACTGGCAAATGGGAGATGATCATACTTCAAAGAATTAATGGGTGTGGAGTGGTTGGGTGTGAAGTATTTGGTTCAGTGTCCATGTCAGCTGTGGCTAGTCTTCTCAGAGCAGTGAAAAATGGGGGCACCCCCACTCACACACCTACCTGGATTTTCTGGCGTCTCTCCTCCTCGCTTTCCAATTCCAACAATTCATCAATGTTGACTTCATCCGGCATGTCTGCTTCCTAAAGCCATGGACATCAGGGTTGGTGACAGTCCCCTTCCTCTCCCGCCCCCCTCCTAGCCCCCAGGGCTCAGCTGGTGGCAGTCAGGGACAGCTCCAGCAGGGAGAAGGGACATCTGGGCCCTGGGGGAGGGGTGGCAGATGGGTTGATGAGAACTGAGGGGTGGGGGTGGGGGGCAGTACTAGCTTGCCTGTGCCCTGGAGCCCAGGAGCCCCGGGGCTGGCACAGGTCATTCTCCATTGGCTTTAGTCCCCACAGTGGAAAAACAGGCCCAGTTGAGTCCAGGAACATTTTCTGGGATTCAGGAGAGGGGCTGGCTCCTGCCCTTTCAAGGCAAAGTTGTAGCAGTAGGTGCAGGGGAGGGGGGGAGGGGGAGGGCCCCTTCCCCCAGGGGACAGGAGCGGGGAGCTGGGCTCAGGGCCAGCCAGCCATCGGGTCCAAGTACAAGTGGGTGGATCTAGGGAGGGGACCACCAGCCCCCCCTTGCCTCGTGGCGGGAGGGTGACAAACTCGGGGTCCATCTTTGAGCTGCCCAGGAAGGCGGGGGAGAGCTCTGAGTTTGACCTCATGATGCAAAGGACAGCTGGCTCAGGACCTCTGTCTGGGACAGGACCCAGCTGTCCTGGAGGAAGAGGTCCCTGGGGCCATAACCTATTGTCCCCAACCCCAAATCGTGCTGTCTGGCTGGGTGTGGGTGGAATGGAGTTGGGGAGTCACATGCTACCCGGAGTGGGCTTGAGCCAGAGCCTGGGGCCTAGGGTTCAGGGCTGGCTCAGGAATGCCTAGCATGGGGGGTAGTTTCTGACAGGGGCCCATGGTGCTCTGAGGAGTGGACAGTAATGTCTCATGGCCAGACACCCAAGCCCAGCTGGGACACCTCTTGTGTGTCAGAGGGGCACCTCCCAAGGTGTCACCTAGAATCAGAGAGCAGTTGTCCACCTGAAAGCCGACACCTCTGTCACTGTGAGGACCTGGCCTTCTCACACTGTGTGGAGCTGCGCAGGCTCTGTGAGACTTGTATGTGTGTGTCTGTGTTCCACAGAGTGTGACTTCTAGTAAGGATGCGAATCCAGACATGTTAGTCTCCCTGCACCCTGCCTCCCCACATATGTCATGGTCCACAAGCCCACGGCCAGTTTCAACATGTGAAGTCCTTGGGTACTACAGGTGATGCGATTTCATGTCTCTGAGTAGCTGTGATTTCTGTTGATTTGTGTGCCTGAGTGGCCATGACACCTGTCACGAGATTGGTGGGTAGTCATTTATTTTTCCTTTAGAAAATAATAAGGAATGGTCAGGCACTGGTGGCTCATGCCTATAATTCTTGCTACTTAGGAGGCTGAGATCTGAGGATCTCGGTTTGAAGTCAGCTTGGGCAGGAAAGTCCAGGAGACTCTTATCTCCAGTTAATCAGCAAAAAGCCAGAAGTGGAGCTCTGACTCAAGTGATAAAGCCTTGAGTAAAAGCAAAGCTCAGGGACAGTGCCCAGGCCTTAAGTTCAAGCCCCAGGTCACACACACACACACACACACACACACATGAATGAGGAATGAATTTGATCAAAGTACATTATATGCATGATGTATGAGAATATCACACTGAAACCCTTTATATACTTAGCATACGCATACATTAATTAAAAGAATAAAGATGGGCAGATGTAACCTGGGTTGCTTTGTGTCCCCGGCTGGGTACTGCTGTGTGAATTGTCAGTGAGCTCACCCCCCAGGTGAATCTTGATGCGGATCTCCGGACAGCTGCTGCTCAGGTTGTTTTGTATGAATCGTAGTTGTGATGGACATGTGTCCACGACTGCGACAGGGCCGTGCTGGTTCTCTAGATAGCTACAAGTGGCGTGACTTTGTGAGTTTGCCTGCAGCTGGGTCTGTCTGTGGAAGCACCCGTGGCCAGGCTGTGCAGCTCAGTGCTCGTCTCCCTGTCACACATCTACAGCCTTACGAGACCCCCCTACTCAGAGATGGTGGCTCTGCCTCCTTCCTGAGCTGTGTCTGGGGGATCCCGGGGGGCCTGTGTCACTTTCTCCGCGCCCACCGACAGCCCCAGGGCGCAGCGGGCCAGGCCGTCCTGGGCACCCCGGGCTGCCGGCAGGCGCGGGGTCT